TCGGTGAGCGTGTGGAGCTGGCACTAGGGAGGGGAAAACCAAGTGGGCTGTGATGCCCGCTACCCCCCGGGCCGGAGCCCACTGCCCCCCACCACACACACAGCCCAGAGAGCCAAGCCCTAGGGAAGGGGGGAGCTCCCAAGGGTGCTGGGGGCCTGGTAGGTGTCTGCTCATCCCCTGCCCTTGGCCAATGCCCACTGTGCCCTTCTGCCCCTCCTTGGCCTCCGGCGCTGCCCACTGCCTCCCTGAGCTGCTCACTGTCTGACTCCTGATGCTTTTTGAAAAACACACCCCCTAAAAACCCCCTCCCCCAGGTGCCCGGCCCCTGGTGTGCGGTCTGCGGGTGTCCCCGGGTCTGTATGGGCGAGGGGAGCCCCTGGCACTCCCGGCCCGTTCTCTGCCGAGCGCCGTGGCCGGCCACCCTGCCAGGGAAATAAAGTGACTTGCTAAGATGCTCCGGGCTGCTGTCTGTGTGTCCTGCGCCGCGATGGGGCGACGGGAAAGGCCCTTGCCCCGGCCGCTCTCCAGCACCAGGGCTGCCTCTTTGGTCTGGGGATGTTGCTCCCCAGTGCCAGGTATTCCTGGCCCCACCCAGCAGGGCCCCCCAGTGCTCTGGCACCCACTGAGCTCAGGGAGCTGAGGGGCAGGTGGAGCGGCTGGCCCCCTCCTGTGTAACTTTAGCCTTCGGCTGGTGCAGCCCCTCTCTTCCCTGCCGTCCCCCCCTCGATTGTCCATGAGTGGGGCTGACCTGGCCACCCGCTGCCAGCTGCACTGCGCCCCCCAAGGATGGGGCAGCCAGCCGGGCCTTGCCCGGGGATCCCAGTTAGAGCTGGTTGAGAAAAGTGGTGCCCTGCTCCTGGGGGTGGATCCCCCTAGAGGGGCCAGCAGCCGACCCCCATGGTGCCCCCTAATGTGGGGGCTGGCTGTGGGCCCTAAACACAGGACCAGGCTCGCCAGAACCCAAATAACGGGCTGGACTACTCTGGATTAGCTGGGTCCCTGCCCGATGGAGCCAGAGCTGGGGAGAACCCAGGCTGGTTGCCTCGTGGCTGGCACAGTTTGGTACCGTGTGGTCCAGCTGGTCAGAGCCAGGC